GGTCGAATCCCAGGTCAATCAAATTTCACAGAGTTTATTCAGACACTTAGCAAGGATGAACATTCCTTCACCTGTAGCAGCATTATTCGTAAGTATACAGATATTTATAGATATACATTCTATCTGTAGATTAATTGGTTTGTTATTTCCTTATTGGATAGATGTAAGCATGTCATCTGAAAACATCAGATGCTGTGACCACTCAGTTCATGCCTCTCTTAAGTATTGGTGTTACACAAGTGGTTCTTATTTCAGAGCAGAGGTGACAGGTAGGAGGAAGGAGAGGGAGAATTCTCTACATTTCTGGGACAGAGACAGCAGGAGGGAAGCCAAGGGTCCCTGCAGAAAGTAGCTTCAGTCACCCACTCCTCCCTGCTTTCTATGTTCCTCATGCTGTCAAGGGTTCAGCTCACTGCTAGAGCCCAACTCTCCTGATAACTGACCGGGCCTGGGGTATCCCAGAATATTAACATGGTTCACAGCCGTAAGTCAACTCAGAAGCAGTGGTGGAGCCTCTTGGCCTCACCAGCACAAGCAGGAAAATCTTTTTAATCTATTTTTTGATGATATTTCTTTTGCATTTATTTTTTGAGCCTGGAGTGCAGAGCATCCATCCATGGAGTATTTTATATGCCAAAACCAGTAAATAGAATGGGTCTCATTCCCCTGACCCTGAAAGAGCCACCGATATGGCAGCGTTAAGAAGGATGAGGAAGGAGAGGATGATAAAATCTCAAAGGAGAACTAGGCTGCCAAAATGAAGAAAGATAAAAATGACTGTACTTTCAATGCACGTACGTGACATCAGATGCATCAATTGAGTACCTGATGGTACAAGCACATAAGATCAAGTACGACATCATTGGTCTGAAATAAGGAGGCATCAATCACATCACGCTGTTGTCGACACTGGAGAAGAATTTTTCCTCGGAACATGCGATAAAAGAGGCTTCGGAGGTGTCGGTGTCCTTGTCAACAAGAACTTAGCCATGAGCATTGAGTCATACGAATGCCTAGCAACCCGAATTGGACAAGTACATTTGAATAGATGTGGCTCACTGCCTGCAGTTTCTGTCTTCATTGTCTATGCAACAACATCCAATAATGATGAAGGAGAAATTGAGAAGTTCTACATGGAGCTGTAGAAGTTCTATAAAGAAGACCACACCTTCTACAAATCATTGTTAGTGATTTTAATGCCAAGATAGGACTGAGAAGATCAGCCAAAGAACTCCACATCAAGATCCATGGCCTAGAATGGAACAAACATGGTGAGAGACTGTTTGAGTTCATCATGTCGACCAAGACCATCGATGGCAACTCACAATTCCAGAAGGTTGAATCTAAACTTTGTACCTTGGAGTCTCCCAGTGGATGGTTCCACAACAAAATTAACCATATCATATTCAATCGACTGTTTTGCCTGATATGACTGTTGTCCCAAAATTCCAAACGGGATAGTACCATCTCCTTTGTGCAAAATTCTACTTCACGGAGAGGGGAGAAAGGGCTGCAAAATTTAAGAAGAGAACTCCCAGAACAACCACGTACTGGGAGTTCTTTGGCACTATTGCATCAACATGGGAAGATGCCATCGTTGACAACATTGAGGAGGAGTATGATTGACGGGTTCAGCACCTCCATGGTTGTGCAAAGTACACCAAGAGAGAGATAGCCACAAAAAGACGCCTGTCTTTGAAAACTCTTGAGCTTATTCTCCAACGTGGCTTGGTGCATGCCTCAGGCAACCACAAGCGAATGTCCGCACTCGCAAAACAGTGCAGAGAAGTGATAAAGGAAGACCTCAAAGAGAGAAGAGTAACAGTGCTGGCAGATGCGGCAAAGCCAAAAAAATAAAGAAGCATTCACAATGTCTGCCTGTCCTTCGCCAACTACAAGACCAAGAGGACTTCCCTCCGATGTCCTGATGTATCAATCACATCTTTCAGAAGGGCAATGGAGAAGATTATTCATGACTTCTACTCGGATCTCTTTGATAGCCACGTTTAACCGCCCACATACCAAATTCTGCAGAATGAATATGCCGTTCCCAAAGTTCTCCCTTCCGAAATCCGACACTCCATTTCATGGGTAAAGAAGCGAAAAGCACCAGGTCCAGACAAGGTCAGACCTGAACCACTGAAGAATCCGCCATCAGTACTCATCATTACACTGGCTTGGCTCCTCATGTCCTACCTGTCTGAATGGAAAGTTCTGTCCCAATGGAAAACCAGTAGGACTGTACTACTGTACAAGAAGGGAGACGTCCATGACATTGGCAACTATTGCCAGATCTGCCTGTTGTCTGTCATCTACAAGCTGTTCACTCAAGTCATCCTAAATAGGATTGGCAGAACACTAGATGAAGGACAACCAGGTGAGCAAGCCAGTTTCTGAAAAGGATTTAGCACAATCAAACATATCCACATTGGGGGGGGGAGCGAAAAACCACTCTCCGGCCCGCGGAGGTGACCCTAGGATCCATAGGTGCAGGGAAGGACAAACCGAATGAGCACAAGACACAAGAGACATAATACAGAGAAAACAGATCAGAGCAGACGGACAGCAGACAGGATAGAACAGGACAGGACAGGATTTTCTTCAGGGCAGCAGGGGTATTATATACTTTATGATGCAGAAAACTATGCTTACATCACAGAAGGCAATTACATCACTAGGTCATATCATATACTGTTAGGAGAGTTATAAAAACTACATGTTTCATGTGCTTGATTAGTCAGTGTCAGTTACTTCTTATTCTTGGGCTAGCTGTGACAAATGTTTTCTTTTAGATAACCATACATAGCTCATAGGCTGCGGTCAGAGCAGATGCAGTACCATATTTGCGCTAGTCAGGACCCACTTGTTCAGGGTCACGTAGGCCAAGATAACCATACATAGCACAGGCACGTAGGCGCTTGGTCAGTTAAAGGGCCAGCTTCCCACATCCACACAATAACCAAGCTCATTGAGGTTCCTCGGTAGTTCAAGTTGCTGCTCTGTCTAAAGTTCATTGATTTAAAGAAGGCCTTAGATTCTGTTGAGATGGAAGCAGTCATCGAAGCCCTAGTCAATCAGGGCGTTCAAACTCAATACACCAGGATCCTCCGTGAGCTGTATTACAGATTCAGTACCAGGATCTTACCATTCTACAAGGAAGTTATCATCCATGTGAAGAGAGGGGTTCGGCAGGGTGATACCATTTAACCAAAACTCTTCAGTGCCATCCTCAAGAACGTCATGCGACAACTGGAATGAGAAGGAATGGGAGTGAAGATAGACAGTCGGCAACTACACCACCTCTGCTTTGCTGGTAACACCAAGTGACAAAAATGCTGGCCGACTCACACCATGTGTGGAAAGGTTGGACTGCAGCTGATTCTCATGAAGATTATGTCTATGAGAAACAGTCTTGTTCCTCACGTTCCATTCACTCTCAATCGAACCAACATCTCCAAGTGCAAGAGTTATGTGTACCTAGGTCGAGAAGTCAACATGACGAATGACCTGGCACCTGAGTTGCGCAGGAGGAAGAAAGTGGCTTGAAAGATTTCCACTCAATGCCTCTTTTGCAAACTACAGCACCCAAAATCAGAGAGAGAACCAAAGGGAATGGCCTGCCACAGGGGTGGGGTGGTGGGATGGATTCCGGGAGCATTTGCGGTGGGGAATGGGCTCTGGTGGAGGGATGGGTACTCAATCATCGTATAACTGAATCCCAAGCACAAAAATCTATATGTCTACAATTGTACCTCATGTGTTTCTCTAATATATATATATATATATATATATATATATATAAACTTGTTAAATTAAAAAAAGTCTTGAAGAAAGCCTTCAAGAGTGTCGAAGAAATAGCTAAGAGGATGAAGAACCTCAGGTTCTGGGCACATCTCTTTGATTCGAGTGTTCTTCCTATGTTAACATATACCTCAGAGACCTGGGCCCTACGAAAACAGAATGAGAACAATATTTGGGTCTCCCATAGAGGAATCAAAAGAGCTATGCTTGGAGTATCACATTTCACTCAAATGAGAGAAAGAATTCGGAGTTCCGACCTCCGTCTATGCTCAAGAATCAGGGTCGCTGTCTTGTTTGCCAAGGCGTTGAAAATTAGATGGGCTGGATACGTAATGAGATTTGGAGACGACCATTAAACTAGAGCCATTACTGACTGTATTCCATGGGACGTCAAAAAACCGTGTGGCCTCCCACCTACGAGATGGGCAGACTTCTTCATCAAGACCCTGAATGATCGGTTTGAGGCTCTTCGTGTTCCTAAGCAGACTCCATTGGGCTTCACTAGCACGTGACAAGGATGAATAGAGACATTACTGGTGCCCGCTCGAGCAAGTTGAGAGTTATGGGATATCAAGTGATCAAGTGTTCAGTTTTTCACAGACAACTTACTCCGACCATTTCCTTACAATGACGTGATTGTAGGAATGTGACCATCATCCCTTTCATTTAGGTTCATCTCCTCCACTCTCTCTGGTCCAATGGCAGGATTTCAGCTCAGAAATATAGAGATATGACCGTGTACAAAGGAGGTCTCCACAGAAACTCTGGAAGGGAGTCTGGCCAACACCCCGATTTCTTCTCAGAAAAAAGGATTTCTTGCAGACAAAGAATTTCAAAAAAAAATGTATAATATTGGTAGTCTGCCATGGGTAGACCTACAGTTCATGAACCTGCAATGACAGCTGCCAAAACTTCCACGTGGTTCTTCCAGAATCATCTGGGATGCTCCACACAAAATCCTAGAAGAAAATATAAATAACACCAGGTGTTCCAGAGACAAGCCATCTTCCTCTTGGCTGTTGCTGAAGGATAGAGAGATATCCTGACCCTATAGCTCAAATGAAGCCTGACCCTGTGAGCCCCATCCTGTGTCTCAGACTCTGACTCTCTGAGGAGGAAGTCAGGAGGATCAGCATCCCTGTCTTCTCCTCACCCGGCTGCCTCCCCTTCAGTTTTCTGACACATTCAGAATGTGGTTTTCACACTGTTTTTCTTGCACGGTAATACACGGCTGTGTCCTCGGTGCTCAGCCTGCTCAGTTCCATGTAGACTGTGTACTTGGACTTGTCGGCAGTGAGTGTGAGTCTGCCTTGGAACTTTTGTGCGTAATTTGTATAACTATCACTTGGGTCTATCCTTCCCATCCACTCAAGCCCTTGTCCTGGGACCTGCCGCACCCAGCTCATCCATCTGCTGGTGAAGGTGTATCTGGATACCTTGCAGGAGATCTTCACTGATGTCTCAGGTTTTCCCACCTCAGCCCGTGACTGCACCAGCTGCACCTGGGAGTACACACCTGTGGACAGCAGACAGGAGTGGGTGGACTCCACTTGACTGGTGCCATTCCCTCAGCCCATGGGTATGCTTACCTGCAGCCACTGCCACCAGGAAGAGAATTCTCCAGGTCCAGTCCATGGTGGGGACCATGCACTCAAGGGCTTCTGAAAGTGTGGGTGTGCCTGCTATGTGAGTTTTTCAGGACACAGACATATCTCTATTTAACTCAGTGTCCCTCGCGTAATTTGCATATTCACCAGGAGGAAGAATTCATAACTGAAGGCCTGGTCCAACCTGAGAAGGGGCTGATGGAAGCCACAGGGTCCATCCTCAAGGGGAGTCAAGTGGTCCACGTTTAGATCCTTGTTTGAGGAGATGAGACCCTACACTGTCCCAGGACTCTGTGCACACAGACCTCCCCCTCAGAGGGCCAAGTCCTTTCATGACCTTCCCCTCAGGGCCCTCCACATCTGTATGGCCTGGACACATCTGGACACACCTGGCTTAGAGATTATATCTGGGATCCTGTAACTGCCCAAGGGATACTACAATGAGACTACAAAACCATTCTAATGCCCCAGTGGTTTCCATTGGAGATATTAAAAGACCAGAAACACCCCCTGCATACAGGTTTTACTGCCTTATCAATGTGTTAAGTGTTTTATCCTCAAGATATATATATATATATATATATATATATATATATATACACAATTTCACCTTCTGTGTCCTATACTGATTTTAATTTAGGTTTTCCTGAGAAAGCAAAATTTAGTTTTATTGAAGAAGGGAATCCCGTTTCTGAGAGATTTCTGCCTCTCTGCACCCATTTCCCTTATATCTGCACCCCTTCTAGCCTGCAACTCAGTGCTTTAGGGACTTGGCGCCCCCTGCAGACCGTTCCCCCCATGCAGGGAGAGACTCTGGGCTCACAAGTACTTTAACTTGTCATGTCTCTGACATAGGATTGAATCCTGGCTGTTCACTTCAGAAGCCTTGTTAAGGAATCATATTCTTTTATGGCCCTTTTGGTTTGGTATTGAGCTACGCCAGGTGTTCTGAGGACTTGCCCCTGGGTTACAGTCGGGAATCGCTCAGGTCTTTGTATACACACACACACACACACACACACACACACACACACACACACACACACATATATATATATATAGTATTATCTAAATAAATTTACTTACAAAACGAACTGTTTGTTTACAAAAAATTACTTACAAAAATGAACTGTAGTGATAGCACAGTGGGTAGGGCATTTGCCTTGCATGAGGCAAGCCCAGGTTCAATTCCTTCACCCCTCTCAGAGAGCCCAGCAAGCTACGGAGAGTATCCCGCCCACAGAGCAGAGCCTGGCAAGCTCCCCGTGGCGTGATCGATATGCCAAAAACAGTAACAACAAGTCTCACAATAGAGACATTACTGGTGCCGCTCGAGAAAATTGATGAATAACGGGAGAACAGTGCTACAGTGCTACAAATATGCAAGGAGGGTGAGAGAGAGTGGGGGAAAGAGAATTTGTTCATACATTTTCTGCCACAAAATATCTATTTTAAGTATGTTATCTGTTTAATATCCCCATTTTAGATGGGGTTGGGTTTTTTTGATAAGCTCTACAAGGGATTTATACATGTTCTATTAATCTTATACCAGATGAGCCGTAGGCAGATATTTTCCCCCAGTTTTTCTTTTTTTTTTTTATTCTGATCATCATTTCATTTACATTGATTGGGCCATTTAAAAAAGAGAGACTAAGAATACAAAAAGCATGAAATGGGTGAAAACGTTGGCTTGACATTGATTCCAAAATTATTAGGCTACATGAGGGAAATTGAAATAACACAGAGACCATGTGTTTATTGGCAACACGAAACGATTGTAATGGGCTGACCACAATCACAAACACAAAGTCACCTTCAATGTTGGGTGCAAAAATAACCGAGACAGTCGGTGAGTTCTCAGGTGGAATTGTGATCAATGTGGGTGAATCACTGCAGATCCAGAGTCGGGACACACCTCATGTCTCTTCACAGCACAGGGCCTTACTCAGCCTCTCTACACACAACGAAGTGCTAGGATGTAGTCCCTCCTTCCACAAGCACAAGGCAAAACAAAATCAGCTCTGAACTCACTCCCCACTGCCTTCTCAGAGAGTGACCAGGGCTCAGCACATCCCCTTCGACAAAGATGAGCCTTGGGTACTTTATGTATCTCCTGGAAACCCAAAAACATCAACTAGTGGAGATGATCATAATCGTGTTCATTCAGTCCACATTCATTAAGCAATCGAATTATTAGCACCAAGTACAGTAACCAAGATGCACACACAACACACAACGCAGCGCTCAATTCTGCCTGTATTTCCTCTTTCAGCCATGGAGTCCGTTATTTCTCTCCTTCAGTTCTGTTTGAGGAACAGTGATCACTGTTTTCTTCCTTATCTCCCTGAGATTCCCGAGTCTCCCTGTCAGTGTTTCCTTCAAGTCAGAGAGCACTGAGAGGATTATTGCTCTCTGCACACCCACAGAGCATCGGATGTACTAATGTTCATACCTGGATTCAGTCCACATTCATTAAGCAATCGAATTATGTTTTACTTATTCTTGGTGTTCTGTAGGAGCTGAGCGTGTAAGTTCCTGGTGGTTTGAGCATGGATCAATTTATTCAGCTTGGGCTGTGACTCTAGTAACTTCTGGCAGGCAAAAAGCCTGTGGTGTTTACTCTATGGGACTGGGAAGGCCAGAGGTCTGGTGGGAGCAATAACTGTGGGTTCTGGTGCTGACAAGATTTCACTGAGACCTGAGACATCCCGTGGGGAATCACTTAATCACTTAACTTCCCGTTAGTCGTCGATTTGCTCGAGCGGGCGCCAGTAGCATCTCCATTTGTCCCTGTCACGTCCTACTGTAGCCCAATGGCATCTGTTTGCTCTGGGAACATGAAGAGCCTCAAACTGATCGTTCATGATCTTCACGAAGAAGTCTGACCATCTGGTAGGTGGGCGGCCACGCAGTCTTTTGACATCCCATGGAATCCAGTCAGTAACAGCTCTAGTCCAGCGGTCGTCTTTAAATCTCATTACGAGACCAGCCCATCTGATTTTTGACACCTTGGCAAATGAGAGAGCGTCCCTGATTCTTGATCGTCGACGGATGTCGGAACTCCGGATTCTTTCTCTCATTTGAGTGAAACGTGATATTGCAAACATAGCTCTTTCAATTCCTCTTTGGGAGACCCCAATAGTGTTCTCATCCTGTTTGCGTAGGGCCCAGGTCTCTGAGGCATATGTTAATGCAGGAAGAACAGTGGAATCAAAGAGATGAGAGATGTGCCCGGAGCCGGAGGTTCTTCGTCCTCTTAGCTATTTCTTCAACGTTCTTGAAGGCGTTCCAAGCCGCTCTCTTCCTCCTGCTCAGCTCAGGTGCCAAGTCATTTGTCATGTTGACTTCTCGACCTAGGTACACATAGCTGTTGCATTCGGAGATGGTCGTTCCATTGAGAGCGAATGGGGCGTCAGGAACGAGGCTGTTTCTCATAAACATTGTCTTCGTAAGATTCAGCTATAGTCCTATCTTTCCACACTCACGGTCAAAGTCGGCCAGCATTTGTGCCATTTGGCTGATGTTTGGTGTTATTAAAACAATGTCATCAGCAAAGCGGAGGTGGTGTAATTGCTGACCATCGATCTTCACTCCCATTCCTTCCCATTCCAGTCGTCGCATGATGTTCTCGAAGGTGGCACTGAAGAGTTTTGGTGAAATGGTATCACCCTGTCGCACCCCTCTCTTGACGTCAACGATCACTTCTTTGTAGAATGGTGAGATCCTGGTAGAGAATCCGCAATACAGCTCACGGAGAATCTTGATGTATTGGGCTTGAATGCCCTGATTGGCTAGGGCTTCAATGACCGCTTCCGTCTCAACAGAATGAAAGGCCTTCTTTAAATCAATGAACGTTAAACAGAGTGGCATCTTGAACTCCCGAGAAACCTCAATGAGTTTGGATAATGTGTGGATATGGTCGATGGTGCTGAATCCCTTGAGGAACCTGGCTTGTTCGCATGGTTGTCCTTCATCTAGTGTTCTGCCAATCCTACTTAGGATGACTCGAGTGAACAACTTGTAGATGACAGACAATAGGCAAATCAGGCGATAGTTGCCAATGTCATGGATATCTCCCTTCTTGAACAGTAGTACGGTCCTGCTGGTTTTCCATTGGAATGGAACCTTGCATTCAGACAGGTAGCGAGTGAAGAGCCGAGCCAGTGTATTGATGAGTACTGATGGCATGTTCTTCAGGTGTTCAGGTCTGACCTTGTCTGTGCCGAGTGCTGTTTCTTTCTTTTTTTTTTTATTAGTGAAACACCATGAGGTACAGTTGTAGATTTACAATTTTTTGTACTTGAGTTTCGATTATACAATGATCAGATACCCATACCTCCACCAGTCCCCATTTTCCACCGCCATGGATAATATCCCCCCCCACCCCCATGCCCCCAACCCCCCTGTATCTGTGGCAGGGCAATCCCCTGTGTTCTCTCTCTCCTTTTGGGTGTTGTGGTCTGCAAAAGAGGCATTGAGTGGCAAACATGTTCAGTCCATAGTCTACTTTCGACATGCATCTCCCCTCCTGGGAGGATCCTCCAAACATCCTTTATTTGGTGCTCCCTTCTCTATCTGAACTGCCCTTTCCTCTAGGATACCCAGCTGGCCTCTAAGTTATGGAGTAATCCTCCTGGTGCTGATCTCAGCTATTCTTGGGTATAAATCTCATACTTTGTTACTTTATATCCCCCAGATTAATGCAATCTTTCTATGTCTATCCCTCTCTTTCTGACTCATTACGCTTAGCATGATACTTTCCATATTGTACCACTTGTATGTAAATTTCATGACTTCATCTTTTCTAAGAACTACATAGTACTCCATTGTGTAGATGTACCAAAGTTTCTTTAACCAGTCATCTGTTCTTGGGCATTCAGGTTTCTTCCAGTTTCTGGCTATTGTAAAGAGTGCTGCAATGAACAAACAAGTGCAGATGTCACTTCGACTATACATTTTTGCCTCTCTGGGATATATTCCCAGGAGTGGTATTGCTGGGTCAAATGGGAGCTCAATTTCTAATTTTTT